GTACAGGCAGTCCCCGGGTTACGTACAAGATAGGGACTATAGGTTTGTTCTTAAGTTGAATTTGTATGTAAGTCGGAACTGGCTCCAGATTCAGCTGCTGCCACTGAAACTGACCAGGGGCTGACTACAGGAAGATGGAGGCAGAGTTGCTCTGCCCCCAGCTTCCTGGAATCAACATGTAGCTTGGCTAAAGTCTTATTGAACTGCTTTGCTTTTATTTTGCAGCAGCATCACAATATAATTAACAGAATGTAGTTTCTCAGAGTTTATTTAAGGTAAATTTTTGTTTCAAGTTTAGAAAAAAAGGGTAAAAACTTTCCACGGTCATTACTTATAAACATGCAGCTAGCTCTACATACCTAGAGATTCCTCTGAAGTATTAAATAAATTACTAGTCTGATACAATTTTTCAGAAGAATTAGGATGTTTTTACTAACTCTGTCTTATAAACTATCTCACCAAAGAGGTGGAATTTATCAGGTGGTGGTCTTTTAACTTCCTAAATGTATGTACATACCTTCATACTTTGTAATTCAGATTACTCACATTTTTGTAAATTTGGCTGATTTCAAAGCATTATGGCCACTGATAAATCTTTAAACATCGAACAATTATTAATAGAGGATTCATTATTGTACATTTAAACAATAGTAATAATATGTCTTGGTAATGCTACGAGACCAACCTGGCAGCACCCCAGCTGCTCTGCTCCCGGCTTCCCCAATTCAGCTGCTGGTCAGTTTCAGCAGCAGCTGAATGGGGGAAGCCTGTCCGGCTGCCCCAGCACTTCCGGGTTCCTGATGGTGCCGGACCATCAGGAGTCCTGGAGCATTGGATGCCGGACTAATGGAGTTTTACTGTATTTGCATATACGTGCAACCTCACTTAAGTTGCGGCCCTCCACACATGCTGTGGGTATCATTGTGGCCCCCGGGGCTTCCAAAGTTGAGTAGCCCTGATCTAGACTATCTCTAACAGGTGTTTGTCTAAACTGCTTTTTAAAATCTCCAATAACGGAGATTCAACAATTATCCACAAATTTTGTAAGTGTCCTTTCTATGCCATTATCTAAATCACATGCCTAGTCTCCTCTAGTCGGGGGCGGAGGGAGAGAGTTGGAGCCTTAAATACATAAGTAGATAGCGATGCAACATGTTGTAGTGATAATGGGTTAGCAAAGACAACAGTTTTTCTTTCTTTTACAAACTTTATCCAACACAGCTTCTTGCCCTTTGTTTCAAGATAATCTATAATATGATGTGTATACATATAATTTTAAAATAGGGATGGGAATGGCAAACTTTGACTGCTGGTAGCTGTGAGTAACTGTACCTGGGGATGTTTAGGTAAACACAGCGTCTGGCAGACAACCAGCGGCTAACCCTGACAAACCACGTCTAGCCCCTGGGCCAGTTATTGTCCACTCCTGTTTTAAAACAAAGTGCTGAAATTTGAATGTTTTACCTTAGATGAGGATCATACATCCTAATATGCTATCCAATCAACAGCATATTGTATTAAAGCACAGAATGTATACCAGTTTCAGTATATCTTGATTCATATGAGACTATCTCTTTATTTGCTAATATTGCATTGATACATAGATTTCAAGGCCAGCAGTGTTCATTTTGATCATCTTGTTTGACATCCTGTAAAACACAGGTTGGACAACTCAAAAATCATTCCTAGAGCAGATTTTTTAGAAAAATATCCAATTATAGAAAAGAAACACAGAATCAGAGCAATGTAGCACTGCAAGGTACTTCAATAAATAATTTAATCGAGTCTCCTGACCTTAGGACAAAATATTATTTAGGCCAGGTATCTGTATAACCTGTTCTTAAAAACCTCCCATGATGAACATTCCCCAATCCTCTAGACAATCTTGATTTCAAAATAGTCAGCAACGGAGAATACACCTCTCAATCCTGGCTAAACTGTTTCAGTGTTTAATTACCTTCACTGTTAAAAAGGTATGGCTTATTTCCAGTCTAAATTTGTCTAGCTTCAGTTTCTAGCCATTGTATCATGTGTACCTTTCTCTGTTAGACTGAGGAGTCTATGATCAAATATCATATATGTTGCTTCTTGCAGAATCTAACCAAGCCACCCATTAACCTTCTTTTTCTTAAAACTTAAGTTAAATAAATGGAACTTCTTGAGTCTCTTATTATAAACCATCATTCTTGTGGCTCTTCTCTGAACTTTCTCCATTAAGCTAGCCCACTGGGACAATTTCTTCTCCCATTTACATTATTCAATCACAGTGCCCATGAGGTTGAACAGGAATAACTGATCAAATTTTGGCATATTTGAATATAGTGTATTTACTAGCCAAGGACAGTTGAAGGGAAACTTCAACCGTATACTATGCTTTAGTTCAAGCTACTCATTAAGAAGCACACAAAAGGGGCAATAAGTCATATAGAAGACTATTTAAATTAGTCAAATAGGCTTCACATGGCAGCATGCAGGCAAGCACATTATGCATTCTATTGCAGCAACACAGAATAAAATTATATACTCTGTGAGTAATGTTTCAACCAGATGAGGGGGAAATCAAGAGTTGCAAAAATGAATAAAAATATGAGCCCTAGTAAGTAAAAGTAATAAATAGTCACCTTGGTTTTTTCAAACTTGCCTGAACTGGGCACCACTTTTTTCCTAAATCAAATATATTTCTAGGCTCTTCAAAATAAGCCAAACCAGTGGTAAAGTACAGTGTCAATAAACACTTTATTGGGGTTTTCAGCAGTGCTCAGCATTTGCCTAATGCTGTTCCCACTCAAGTCAATGGGTGTTTTACTATTGAATTCAATGAGAGCAAAGTTAAATTAACGCAGAGTACCGATGAAAATCCCGCCCTCTCTAAGTACACACAATTAACCACCAAGCAAAGGAATGATCAAGAGCAAAACCAAACAGAACATGTTCTAATAGACTCAAGAAAGGACCTGGGTTTTCACTTTACCCTATCTGCTCAGCATTATTGTCTTGCTTTCTAGTTTACAGTATATTTTGGTGGTAGCATGACTCATGGGTATTAAGTGCTATGGGCCATAGCCTCCTCTCTGACAAGAGAAAACACAGAGGAGTATCTACAAGAAAACATCCCTGCCTTTTCCTCTCTCAAACCTGCTTCGCTGTTGGAAAGCACAAGGTAGCAGTATAAAATTGCACTGGCAGTAGGCCTGTCCGATAAACTTCAAGTAGGCCAATGATCTGAGTTCAAACCTAGCAGGCCTCTGTTGTCATGTCCAGAGCTGGTGTGGTTCTATGGGACTTTGTCTCTCTCGCTCCCGAGCCACTGGCAGCAATTCTTGGTCTTTTGCTATACTGCCATTGTCTAGCCCATCTACTAGAGCACTCATATGTCTGGTGGTCGGGGGTGCTCATGGTTACTTAACTTAGTTGGCAGAACATGAGCCTGTTAAGCTCAGGGTCATGAGTTCAAACCTGCTTAACAGTGCTGCAAACCATATACAGCACTGAGGGAACTGGTTGCTTATTCCAGTGCTGCCTGCACAGAAGCTGTATCAAAGAAGTACAGCAGCAAGGAGATTGAGGAGCACTATTCTGTGCACTTAGATCATAGAGTGTAGCATAGCTTCCAGACATATCTGCTTCCCTCTGCTCCTCCTAATGGAGAGGAACATATGGCCCAGAGAATTCTACTCTCAGAAAGAGAAAAACCATTTGCATGTAATTTCTAAAACATTGTTTAGAACACCCTTGCTTTTCACTATCGGCTCTGTATTCTAGTCCTGCTGTGAGGGCAGGGGACTGGCCTTGATGACCTCTCAAGTTCCCTTCCAGTTCTAGTATTCTATGATTCTGTGACTCCATGAAATGTGCATACCCCCATGCATGATTCTTTAAGGAAAAGTTTGCATGGTCTCAATCCAATTGTACAGTCCATGGTGGAAAATTGTCAAAAGAAAAATATGCTTTTTAAAATGTCTATTAAGAAATAATTATTAATCAATTAATGAAAATGTCATCACCCTTTAAATTATGTAAAAGTTTATATTTTAAAGTTATTGATAAAGGACTAAAACACTAGTAGCCCACAATAGATAGGGTAAAGCATAGACAGAATAAGCAATACACGTGTACAAAACCTTAGTGTATAAAGTGCTATTAATTTAGGGCCAGATTTTGATGGTCTTGCTCAAATGGAGTAGTACCGCATGCCATGGATAGTTCCCCTGAAGTCAATGGGACGCCTCGAGTGCTTTTCATTGTAACAGTGCCAAAATCTGGCCCTTTCAGTCCAAACCTGCCTTCTTAACACAGGTAAGCTTCCCCTTGATATCAGCAGGGCATTTGCCTGAAGATGGCAGGATTGGGACATAGTCTAATGAAACAATCTGATTCCTTATTTCTGCATATTCTATATATTCATATAGAACTCACTCTGGGTTTTAAAGTTTCATTTTTTTTAAATCAGAGATAATATCCCTGTGACAGATACAACACAACTGGTAGCTGCTGGTACCACTCTCCCAACAATTAAGCTGATGCCACTTATTAGATGTCCTTAATAAATGAATTGAGAGACAGCCATTTTAAATCTATACAATGCCTCTAATAGAAACAATACAAACACTTTGAAGTTGAAGAAAACATTTCTTCATAATAAGATAAAATCATTTTATAGGCAAGGAAGCTACCTGTGTTTCATGTTATATTTATGGGGAAAGATTAGATGTACATACAGAATACCATCACATGTATATTTGTGTTTATACACAACTCTGAATTATATTTATAGTGCTTCAGCCTGATTCAAAGCCAAAGTGAAGTCAACGGGAGATTTTCCATTAATTTCAATGGGCTTTGGAGTAGATATTTAATCAGGTGTGTTCACATAATTACATATACTCTTGTTTTTTTCTATATTAAACATTTTAGTGAAAGTTATTCATACATTTCAGATACACGTGTCATGTACTTTTATTTTTCTAGTGCTTTGTTGTTAAGCGTGTCGTTTACCCTACCTTTGCAGCCACTGATGAGTTGGGTTTCTCTAGCAAGTCCCAGAGTTTCTTCCTTTTATCTGGGCAGCAAGTATTATCAAACTCTTCCCCTTCTCTTTCACGCATTGTCTCTGCCTCTCTCCTCAGTTCCTCATTCATTTGTTCTTTCTTCTGATGATATCTCGCCTGGCAGCAAGATTCTAAATATATCTCATCAATTCCCCAGAAATCAAGCTCCTGGCCAAAAGAGAGAGCACACATTTCTTCCATCATGTGTAGCTTCCCTGTCCTGTAGAAATTCAAAATGGAAGTAAAAGCCCCTGGATGTCGATCAAAGAAATATTCATTCTCATTCAGGTTATAGTCATCACACACTTCCAGCAGAGATTCGTGGGTATTGCAGTCTCTCAGCTTTCCTAATCGAGTCCTCGGGAGTCTGTCCAAAGTCCTCCATAGAACTTCATGATTGAGCCCCCCTACATTTATTTTAACTCTCCTTGAGCAGGCTTTACTCCTAATGATTTCCACTGGCTCAGGTGGGAGGGAAAGCGTAGACCTTGAAGACTTCCTGTTCATCCCTGGTGGAGCCTTCTCTGCCATTTTGAAATGGATGCAGCTGTGAAGCCAAAGTCTTTACAAGAATGAGCTTGGAGAATACAAATTTTCAGATAGGATCCTCTTTAGACGGGTCTCCCCATTCCTGGGGCTAAAAGAGAAAAATAAATAGAACCTTGCAACATAATTCATATTCACACAGCTTTTTTGCTTACATGACTATATACCTCCCTTTCTCCATTCTCATATACATATAAGAATATAAGTACAAGTGCAGTAATGCTGCTCATTAAGAAGAGAAGCCTTTTTTGTGCTGGGGGTTGTCAGAAAAACGCTTCCATTTCAATAGTTGGGATTGCTCAATGTATTATCAGAGCTAGTCATATAAATGTCAATGAAACAATTTTTGTGAGCATAAGCCAATTCATCTTCAATCAAAACAATTTGCCAAGATGATTCTGATGGAAGGTTTCCTGCTAGCACTCCCACCGGGCTGCTAGGGAGTCCTGACTTCAAGAGTCCACAGTTCTGGGATACTCTGCCAGACAGCTCTGGGTTCTGTGGCTCCATTCCTTTTTACAGAGCTTTTTGAAATGTTGGGGTTTTGCTCTGAAGTTGGAACCAACCCAGAATTTCAAAATATCAAAATCCTCCATGAAACGGAAATACCTTTCGCTGCGCAGCGTGAAGTGAAACGGAAATACCTTTCGCTGCGCAGCTTGAAGTATCATGTTATCTATTTCATTGTTATTGCCTTTGGGCAAGGTGTGCAGTCCCCACTGCCCTGGGTTGCCACCAGGGAGAAGCCAGTGGCTACTCCCTCCCACCCTCTGCCCTGAGCCCCCTTTCTCTCCCATAAGTTCCTCCTCCTCTCAACCCTGTGCCCTGATTCCTGCACCTCCCACACTCTGCCCTGAGCTCCTCCTCTCCCCTAACCCTCACTCTCTCACACTCCACATTTCCAGCCCCCTGCCCTGAGCCGCTTCTCAACTTCCCAGCCTGACTCCTGCATCTGCCATGCCCCCTGGCCTCCTGCCCTGAACCCCCACATCTCCAAGGCCCTGCCCTGACTCCTGCACCCCCCACACTGCCAGTCCTCTGCCCTGAAGGACCTGGGCAAAGTCGGGCAAGTTTTCTCTTGTTTGTATATGTGTATGCATGTGTAGAAAGAATAAAAATGTAATCTTGTGTGTCTAAGTGTAGAACTTACTGTCAAAAACAAATATCTTATTAGTAGCTGAAAACATTTCAGTCAGAAGGATTCTGCCATTTCACATATTATATTCTACACTACACAATGGAACTCCCTCTGGATCTCCCAGAGCAAACACACTGAGGAGGCAGCCCAAAGCTGCTCAATGCTATTTACATGAGGGATTAAGCCTACAACATTTATCTTCATTCATGAAATAGACGCCTGATAACTTCACTTGAGGAGATAAGTGTCATATCAAATCAAAGCCCTCAGTCTGGATGTTTCCACTCTGTGCATCTCTTTTGTTTTCCCCATTAGGCCAGCTCCTGTCTCCTCACCCACCTCACTGCATGTAGCAAAACAGCCATGATAATATTGTGAGCATGGGGAACTGACAGCCAGTTATTCGGCAGAGGGGGAACGTCTACTCCTTGCAGTCTGCACCCTGTGGTAGCTCTCTGCACAGTACCAAAATGGGATATAGAGACTGGCAGAGTTGTGCACTCAAGACTGTGTAATCCACTCATGCAAGTCTTCACATATCAGACAAACAGCAGCTCCTGGGAACTTCTCACTGTGGGGATGGATTCTGTACTGAACTTCCCCTAGAGAGCTTCTTTGTGCATAGCCTGGTCAATCAGATTTTATCCAGAGGTCCAGGGGGTATGTAACAATTATTGAACACAGAGATGGAAATAATCAGTTAGATATTTACCAATCACAATAAGATAAATGGACATTTATCCTCACAGAAAATGAAAAAAACCTTTAGAATTTAAGACAATGTTAACTTCTGTATAGGTTTCTTCAATATTGTCCTATAGAATTAAACAGCAAACTTTATCCCTAGTAATGATTCAAAATGTTGAGAGGTTATGATATTCTTTATTAAATTCAATCAATAGATTTTCAGAGCCATTTCTACAGAAGGGCCTTGGTTTAATTCTATTAAATTCTATAGATCTTAGGAAATTGCGTAGCCCTTTCCTTTATTTTCGATAAACGGCACTTCGTACTTTTAGCAACTTTACATAAAACTCACTAGAAATTAGTCAGTCAACTAATATGGCAAAGCTAGCCAGACCCTTATTAGTATTTGACATAAAATGACTTAAAAAGAAAGTAAATCAATAATACATTTGTTTCACTATTTGTGCAGCACAGCTGTGGCATAGCATTGTTAAACAATGCAAAATTATACAGCCACTAGCATTAGGCCAAAGCTGAGAAAACAAAACATTTTTTATTATGACACCATGATTACTGGTTGAATCTCCAAGTTTCAGGAAATGTTTCTTTATCAAGAATTTCTAAAATAGCAGCAATTGGTTTGATTCTGCTCAAATTGAAGTCAGTGGTAAAAATCCCTTTAAGTTCAGTGTTTGGAGGAATGGGTCCAATACATTACAGAATAAACTCAACATTCTTATTGTACATAATAGCATGCCACAATGTGAAAAGATGAAAACTAAAACCTCTAGTAAAATAAAAATCAAGCATCATTTCTACTTTTGGTTCTTTATATTCCTGTACACTACATGCTGCACACTGCATTCAAGTAACAGCTTTTAAGTAATGTATATAAAGACTTTTGAGCCTTTGTTGCATAAGCCTCTCTTTATGCCTTTTCTGTTTTCAGATGTTATAAGAAATCTTACCATAAACTGTTTACAGAAGATAGAAGAGAGTGTTTGTGTCTCTGTATATATCACACAGAATCTTCACTTTAAAGGTGTGTCTACACTGCACCTGGAGCTCGAAACAAGCTATGCAATTCAAGCAACGAAAATTGTGTAGCTTATTTTGAGTTAATTTTGAAATAGCTTATTTTGAAATTTGGCTCTGTCTACACAGCACTTATTTTGAAATAAATTGCTATTCCAAAATGTCTCTTACTCCTTGTGGAATGAGATTTACAGACATCAGAATAGCAGGCATGTTATATTTTGAAATAACAGGCATGCTCAAAAGACATGGAATAGCTATTTCGGGATACCGCTGCAGTGTAGACATAGACTCAGAGAATAACATTTAAAACTCTACAACACATATAATAAAACACATACCCAAATAACCTCAGATCTCTAAGCATAAGTTAGGAAACAGAAGTGAACAACCAGAGTTACCTTCAAAATTCTTTGAATGGCTTTAAATAAACTTGGCTACCTCCAATCAAACTGTTTGGATATTGCCAATTTAAATTTTAGAGCCTGAAAAGGATTTTAATATTTATTTAGCTTTTAGTTTATTAGCTTGAGTCTTATAAGTTGGTGTCATTAAGGCATGCTCAAAAGAGGCCTGAGAGTAAAAAGTGTTACTACTCCACTTCTGAGTCTATACCAGAGAGGCCACTCATCAGCATTCTATTGGGTGTCATTATGACACACTGGTTTTGGGCCTGAGAGTAAAAAGTGTTACTACTCCACTTCTGAGTCTATACCAGAGAGGCCACTCATCAGCATTCTATTGTAGTACAAGTTGAACCTCTCTGGTCCAGGACTCTCTGTTCTGCAGAGTCCAGACTTGGGGCAACAAAGTCCAGGCTCCTTGGGGCTGTGGAGTGCCTATGGCCCACAGCTGGCCATGGAGCTCCAACAGCCCCAGAGCAGCTGAGCATTGGTGGCCTCGTAACAGCTGAGCCCCAGCAGCCCCAGGGAAACGGTGTGCTGGCAGCCCAGGAGCAGCTGAGTCCCTAGGGTTGCCAGGTATCCGGTTTTGAACTGGACAGTCTAGTATTTGAGCTTTCTGTCCGGGAAACAAACCGAGAAATAACGGACATATAAACGTCCAGTATTTTCTAATTAAGTAAGTTTCATTATTATCATGAGCAGGGCTCGACAAATCACTGAATCACTGAATCTACTCACCCGTGGCGAGTAGATTTCAGCCGGTCGCCCCGTTCACAAGTGGCGCGCGCATGCGGGTCTTGCGCATGCGCATGCGGGTCTTGCGCATGCGCAGTGCAGGGCTGGCAAGTAGGTTTCGCCGCCATTTGTCAAGCCCTGATCATGAGTATCAGTACGTAGTTGCATACTGCCTGGCTGATAGACACACTAACAACTACGCAGTATAGAGGAGGGGGGTAGGGGCGGGGTGGGATGGAATCTCAGGGGCCAGACTCACTCGTGCACTCCGCTGGGACCATGGGCGGAATGGGCAGTGCTCCGGGATCTGCTTGCACCCAGGCCAGCCCCACTCCCCGCTTCCTCCCCAGCCAGCTCCGCTCCCTGCGACCTCCTCCCGGCCAGCCCTGCTCCCCTCCAGGCCGGCCTCCCCTCCCGTTCTGAGATCACGTGTGTCCGGTATTTTTTTGAAATCCATCTGGTAATCCTATGAGTCCCAGTGGCCCTGGGGCAGCAGAGGTTTGGTAACTCTGGGTAGCAGAGCCCCAGTGACTCTGGAGCAGCAGAGCTCCTGTGGCCCCAATCAGCGGTGCCCCAGTAGTCCCAGGGCTGGCTAAGGAGCTGGGAACCTGGTGGCCCAGGGGCAGAGGAGCCTGGCAGAGTGCCAACCTCCCATTACAGAAAACTCCCTCCTTTGGACTAGTCAGGTTCCGAGAGTGCTGGACCAGGGAGGTCCAATCTATAGTAGAGAAAGATAGATTTATTATAGATTTTATTGTAATACAAGCAGCTTTTGATAAAATAAAATTTCCTTCCTTACATGTAAGTGTGTAGATTCCATCAAAAAAACCAATCTACATTAAAATAATGTTAAGACTGCAGTCACTCAAAAGTTACATTGCCTGTACAACCCTCATTCTGCCCTCTTATGGTGTGGACATAAGTGAAGTTTTTTCGGAAAAACGGCCCACCTGCCCTACACCCAGGACAGTGATAACCCACAAAATACCCGTTATTTTGACACTCCCTAGTCCTAGAACTCTACCAAAAAGATGTAAAGTTTCTGGTTACAATGTCTCTCTCAGGGACACACAAATGTCATGAAGCAGTTAA